TGGCTCTCATCGTCAATGGATAGTGAAGACCCAGATGACAATAGCCAGTAAGCATTGTGTTCCAAGCAATTAAGTCTTTAATAGTCATTTCATCGAACAGTTTTCGAGCACGGGTAATGTAAACCAAATGTGAACGCATGTAATGATATAAATCGACCCAAATCTCCCAATCAAACAAACAATAATCCAAAAGCAAATAATCATGTTAAATAGAGTAGANCAGGTAATATAAACCAAATGTGAACGCATGTAATGATATGAATTGACCCAAATCTCCCAATCAAACAAACAATAATCCAAAAGCAAATAATCATGTTAAANCGGGTAATGTAAACCAAATGTGAACGCATGTAATGATATAAATCGACCCAAATCTCCCAATCAAACAAACAATAATCCAAAAGCAAATAATCATGTTAAATAGAGTAGAAAAACAACCAAATTTTTGAATTTTTTTCCCCTAACTCGTCCACTTGGGACAAAAAAAAATACCATTTTTGGTTATTTTTGTCCTAGCATTTGTTGTTATTTTTGTTTGTATGTAATTATGTCTGGTATTGATAATGACTGCTGAGATTTGTTTGCATGACCCGTTCTGAGAGCTGAGGGATTCTTGCTGAGAAAATAGAGAGAAAGAACGAGAAAATCGGGAAAAAAATTGGGAGCTTTATTTTCTTAGAAAGAAATGAAACTCACAGGGGTTTAGATGACAGATTGGGTCAACGGTTTGCGTCTGATTGATTTTTTTAAAAAAAAGCAGCTCCTGTTGTTCTTAATGAATGGCAGAGGAGCCGAATCCCTGGATGCACACCCTTGCTCACAGTATTAAAGGCGAAACTATACCGTGGAAGGGTGGGGGATGTGAATCTGGTCCTGCGGCTCCTGCGTGCCCTTGGCTTGAAATCATGTGTGGACCTAACTGCCTGCCAATTTGTGAGAGAGAGAGAGCACGGATTCCATACATTAANCGTGCCCTTGGCTTGAAACCATGTGTGGACCTAACTGCCTGCCAATTTGTGAGAGAGAGAGAGCACGGATTCCATACATTAAGGAGAAGGCCTGTTGTGTACACGCAGGCATATTCTGACACAAGTTGCACTTCCCACAGATATGTGGGCCATGCCACATCTGAAAAGTGTGGCCCATCTGCACTCTGATGTGGCAGGATTTTACTGGGCTATTCATTGCATTGATGAGAGTTGGGAGCCACGGTTGGGTTTGATTGACAGGGATGGGATGGGATGGGATGGGATGGATTGTGTGACTAAGCTTTAAGAGTCTCGTGACACCTTTTATTTGATACTCTGTTTTCTTAGATTAGATTCAGATCACTTTTAAAACACATTTCTTCAATTTCTCTTCTTTATAAATCACCTATCTTCTATATACTAAGGAATCCATTTATATATAATCAGTCACAATTGAATTTATGGCAANACTCTTAATTTATAAATTGACTTTCTGAGTGGAGTGGTGGAGTGTTACTTGAAAGTCACGGATTGTGTGACTAAGCTTTAAGAGTCTCGTGACACCTTTTATTTGATACTCTGTTTTCTTAGATTAGATTCAGATCACTTTTAAAACACATTTCTTCAATTTCTCTTCTTTATAAATCACCTATCTTCTATATACTAAGGAATCCATTTATATATAATCAGTCACAATTGAATTTATGGCAAAATTGGGCCATGCGTATGGCAAGTCCAGGTTTCATCTGGGCCAGGAAGGACCACACAATTGCAAGCACTATTTAAACAGGCCCAAGAGTGAGGCCCGTAAAATAATGCAAATCGATTGGGAACTAATGTGTGACAAGAATAAAGATTAATTTTCTAAACCAAATATAAACATTTTAATATTATGATGTGGGACCTGTTTATTTTCCAAAAACGCAATTTTAAAATTAAATAATATATTGATTTGAGACTTTTTTGGAAATAAAAATGTACAAAGCAATTTATCTTGATATAGAGGAAAAGTACAACTTGGACTAGGAAACTTGAACCCAACTCAAAATATATGGTATTTAGACAAAGATTTTCATTATTTAGATTAGGCTTGGATTAAAAAAACAAATCCCACTTAAACTCGGATAATATAAATTGAGCCCATTGAGAATTAAATCCAAACTCAACCCCCGAGTTCTAACTTGAATTGTGTTGTTTGAGAATCAAACCATGTATTATTATTGTGTCCAAATGTTAGCCCAAGTTGTATATCCCGAGTTTATACCAAATTCAAAATTTTGAATAAAGACCACACAGGTTGAAAAGTTCGAATCAAATTAAGCATTTTGTATCTTTGATTGACTTCGAATAATCCTCTAAACCAGCCCAAATTGCACTCTAAATTAGAGATCTTACTCAAGCTCCCCAAAACCTAAAGCTTATTTTATTGTTTCCATGATCTTTCATGTTACTAGGCAACAATTATAAGGAGCCTTGGAAATAATAAATAACTCAAAGCTACCACAATCCTATTCCTCAAGGTATGCCATACATTATAAGAAACGGTGCTGTAACGTCCCTTTTTTTGGAACGGTGTTACTTGATTAAATCAATCGATCACAATAAATCATAAATATTTTTGAATATAGGGACAAAACTCTAATTGCCTTGATAAATTTATAATCACAATTTTAATCTCTAAATACTAATAAAAGTTAAAAATTATATCAAGATTCGTTTATTTTTGATTTCTCAAATATCAACATTGGTCATTCCCTCCGAGATTATCCTGAAAAAAATATTAAAAGCGGGGAAGTATACAATATGACATAAAACAATATACTCAACGAAAAAAATATGAATGACCAAATATCAAATAATTCAGATGATAAGAATCATGGATAATGAAATCAAGATTCACAATCGACAGGCCACATAATTCAACTACTATCAAATATAGCCTTACATTCGGTTCATCTTGGTGAGATGACAAGTGATATTTGAACATATAAATCCATTACTTATAACACCCCACAGGGCTGTAATCACAATTGTAGCCCTAGTCACATTTCTACCAATTATGCCTCAATTACACTTCGTACATGTACCAATCAATTCCAAATATTAGCCAACCAATAAAAATATCATAATTTTATATCAATCAAAATAATTAATAGGAATACAAATTTAATAGGAAATCAAATGACACACTTTACAAAAAGATTTAAAAGATAGTAAAATATTATATATTATCCCGTACCTCAAATCACCAAAACTTCAATAAATGTGAATTTGAAATCCCGCGAATCAAATAGATAAATTTAATAGTGATTTAAATTAAAATTATTGTTCAATTTTTTACCCCAAAATCTCATATTTTTCTTCCTTTCTCTCTCTCTCTCTCCTTCTGCCGTGTTGTGCCGTGTTGTTCAAAGGGCCACAAGGCAGGCTCTTATAGCCATCTTCACCCCTCGTCACGTCATTGATGAGGTAACAAAGTTAACATTTGTCCATTTATTTGCCATGTTTGTTTTTAAACTTCCACTTGTCACTCTTATAAGTCTCCCACTTTATTTGACACGATGCTTATATATATATATATACTACATCATTTTAACCATTTAATTTATTATTTGGATATTACGTCTTTTTATTTATTTTTAACGTGAAACATGACTTATATTGTAGTTAATTTTCTCGTTTTAACGTAAAAAAATCATTTTGGAGGTCCATTTATTTATTTGAATTTTTTTAAAATAATAATTCTTAATTATATAGAATTATAATTGATGATCTAATTAGTGTATCAATGATTAATTTATATACGAGTTGAGATAGGTATGGATGCAAAGTTAAAATAATGAGCCTACACTACATTGCAATTTTTATGCATTTTATTAATCTCATTGCCACTACTAGCTCACAAGCAAAAATAAATAAAAAAATTGCCACTACTAGCTACCCCTTTGGTACACCCCCCCCCCCCCCCCCCCC